GGGCCCCCAGGAACTTGGGGCCCTAGCCAACTGCCTAGTTTTGCCTAATGGTCCCCCCTGGATGCTAACTCAAAAACTCACTAGCAAAGGAGAACTGCTGCAAACAGTTAAAACAACCACAACTTGAGAAAAGCTGCTAACCGCCCAATGGAAACACTCCAGACCACTAGGGGGAGATTATCATCGACTTTTTGCGTCTTTTTTTTCTACTTGCAGTATTTTTTCTTTTGAATGTGTTTTATGTGTTTGGATATTGGTCTTAATCTTGGTGTTTGCTAGTCTAATGGATGAGCTTGCAGTGCCGTTTGAATTTATTGTGAAATCACGTATTTATGCAGCGTTTTTCAAACCTCGACTGCCACAGTAACAGTTTGAAAAGTCGCAATTTAATAACCTAAATAGTTCCTGCAGTCAAACTACATTCAGATCCTGTCTCAGGTTTCCTGTGTACTTGTTGTTGCGTTGTTATTGGTCCATGAGGGCCTGCAGGATGTGACGTCACTCCCAGTTTCCTGTGAATTAGATCCCAGGAATAAACTAAGAATCAAATGTGAAGACTTTTATTTGGTGCCATTAATCCATCATCACACCCTGTTCTATGCTGAATGTGATAAATGATACAGTGTTACTTAACTAACACATTTCTGTTATTACTGTATTTGTTACAGTATTATTACAGTGTAACCACTTTATCATTCTCCTGATTTTGTCCATTTGTTTCAGTTTAGATTGTTGCACATTAATCAGCAATTTATGTGAAATTTGTTCTCTTATTAGAGTAAGTGACATTATTATTGCTGATTACATTAAGACTACTGAGGTAAGATGACAGTTTTCTCATTATTATCAGTTTCATTAACCCTTTCTAGGGCATTAAAATACTTTAAATATCCAAATTTCAAGCTGTTATTGGAATCCAGGACAAGACCTCATTATATATTTTGTAAAAATAAAAAAGATGGATATTTTGATGGCAGAAATTAATATCAATATAATAACACAAATTAAATTACCGTATTTTCACGACCATAAGGCGCACCGGACTAAAAGGCGC